TATACTTGTTTGAAATACCATTAGTAGATCCTCTAACCTTGACATTTATTGTTATCACTGTTTAATCCTTACATTAATCTTTTATCTCAAAGCTCTCATCTTTATTATTATTATTATTATGGATTTGTTGTTGTTGTATTATTGTTGTTTATAATTTATACAATTAACATCCTTGTGGTTCGACCCCGATCTTACCAGGTTATTTATTACTTCGACACTCCTGCACTTGAGAGAAAACATCAATCTTTTGATCGTGTCAAATATCATTTTTAGTTGTAGTCCTTAATTTATAAAAATTTCAATCCAGCCCCATATTAAACCCTTTCCTTTGAAATGTTCTCAATTTCATCATCGGTCCAATTTAATTTGGTTCCTGTATTTTTTATGTTCCTTACAATGTGGTTCTTGGTCCTTTAGTTAATTCAATTTTCATCGAATTTACTCTTAATCTTGACTTTTCTCTCAATTAAACCATTCCAAGTTTCTATATCTTTTATTTAGGTTTTTATTTTGTCATTTTATGCAATTTGGCACTAAATTTCACTTTTTCTCTTCAATTAGTCCCCCGGCAAATTGGACTTCAACACTTTGCCACCTTTGTTCACTTTTGTGCAATTATTTAGTTTGTGCAATCATAATAAATTTTAATATTTTTTTATTTTTTTCAATTAAACCCCAATTTGCATGTTCACATTGATTTTTAACCAAATGTAACTTAAATTCCTATCTATTTGTGACCCAAGAAATTATTTTTGGAGCTTTTGATTTAATTGAATTTTTATGGATATTTCTAAAAAAGATACTGTATTGAAAAAAAAATTGGGGGACCTAAAATTCAGTTATTAGATTTAGTTAATTTGGATGGAAAAATTAATGAAAGAATAGATTAGGAACTTGGGCATTTTCTAATGATAAAATTGATTAATTAAAGATATAAGGACATTATAAAAACTCGTCATTTTCCCTATTATATTCTTAAAAAATAGATTAATCCCATTTCATTAATATATGCCTGTATATATATCTCTTTGAATAATATAAAATAATCTTCTTAATAATCCATGCCTAACCTGTATAATACCTTAAAATACAATAACTAAAATATATATAAAAAAATAAAAGTACATCAATATTTATCAAATTAATTATAATCAATTAGACCCTTGGTATGTATGGATGCGCGCATATATATATATATATATAAAAGATCCTTTGTTATTGTTTTACATTATTTTTTTCTATTATATTTTAATACCATCACTACTAGAAATTAAGAAGACTCCTTTAAACAAAACATTCATAAAAGTTTTTTTAATGCCTATATCTTTAATCCCTGTACATACCACATATAACTAAAATAATAAATAATAAAATTATATCATAATTTAACACATTATTAAATTGGATTTTTATTTTATTTTTGTAAGGAATTTTTTAAACTTTGTTTTCATGTTATCTTTAACTTCTTTACATAGAAGTATTTATAAATTTTGATGAACTTTATTAATATAAAAAATAGATATTTTATATAAAAGAAAGAATAAAATTTTTATTTATGTTTATATTTTTGATATCTATCTCATATATTAAAAAAATCTTAAAAGTTAAAGGATGAATAAATTTTTTTAATGGTAATGTAATCATGGGATGCTTTAAAGAAGCTTTGAATAAAATTTTATTTTATATTTTTAAAAATAGTTTTACTTAAATTATATTCACATATAGTATTTTATTGAACTCTTTTTCTTTTTTTAAATAATTTAATATTTTATAAAAAATTTATGTATGCAAGTGCATACCTTGACCTAAAGGAGGAGATTTGTTGTTAGGATGGTACCAATGGCGGCCCTCATGCATTCAAGGACTTTCAAAGAAGATGAGCTTGGAGAGAGATAGAAAGGAAAAGTTCAAAAAATGGCAAAATAAATAAAAAAATATATATAATAAGGCTTAAAATATAAAAATATATAGATGGTTTAGCTCGTATAATTCATGATAAAATAAATCTTCATGGTTATATGCGATATATGGCATGTGCGTGGGTTTATTTTAGATTAAATTAGTGGATAATTGTTAAAATATTATAAATATGCATTTGAATTTTTTTTTTAAAAAAACAAAGATATTTTGAGCGTTGTTAACCAAATCATGAAAACCCCAATTTTATAAATTAAGGTTACTGTTCCCAGAGATATAAAAACCATAATTAATTGAACAAGGTAAGAGGAATTGGACAAAGAAGCTCAAGCACGGATGATTGAGGAGCTGTGTATGTGGAAACTTTTTGTTGGTGATGATGTGTTTAGAGAACCAGACTGCTCAAAGCTTCTCTGTGTTATGGTTGGAGATGGTGTTCAAATCATAGGGATGCCGGTAGTTACTACTGGTTTTTTAGCCCTTGGTTTCATGTCGCCAGCTTCACGAGGGATCGATGCTGCTGATAGGGATGATTTTACTGTATCTTTTCCTAGGTATTGTGGTAGGCTATGTTGCAGTACGTTTCCCGAGAGCCATAGAAGAAGCTCCAGAGGAAGAAGGTCTATTTCTTGGTCGATCGCGTGCTTCTTCCCTGGAATTGTCTTCGTTATCCTTACAATTCTGAACTTCCTTCTCTAGGGAAGCCACAGCACTGGTGCAATTCCTTCTCCTTGTATTTCAAAATTATTCAGAACACACCCCACGTGTGATCGGAAGAAGAAGAAGAAGGTATAGCAAATTAAGATGTTTTGATCTTATGGCTGTTTTTGGCAGTTTGTGTTGGTAATTTAATAATGGTAGGTTAAATAAAATTAATCCTACAAATCTAATATATTATTATTTTAATATTTTAAAAAATCATTTATTTTATTTATTATATTATTATTTTAATATTTAAAAAAATCATTTATTTTATTTTTATATTCAAAAGAATTTTAATTCAATCAATAGCATAGCACAGTAAATAACCTAGATTACTCTACGACATCTAAATGCATAAAACAAGGGGACAAGGTTTTGGAGTTTCATGCCCATTTCTCTAGTCCGTCCCTATCTACTGGAGAAGCATCGGTTTCTCTATCATTCTCTTTCACCGTCATTTTCTTGAGTTTCAGTTTCTACTCCCTAAAAAATTGAAAACACAGTTTTTGAATAATAATAATAAGAAGAATAAAACGTTAACTCCCTAATTTAACGCTCTAGTCTCCAATCAAATTCCAAAACCAAAGCTTTCCTCATATTCTCTCATTTAAAGCAAAACCCATTTCTCCTCTGTTAAGAAAAAAAAATAAAGAGAGCAATGGCGTCGAATATAGGGATGATGGACAGTGCGTATTTTGTCGGGAGGAATGAGATATTAACATGGATCAACAATAGGCTTCAGCTCAACCTCTCTCGTATTGAAGAGGTCTTCTTTTCTTTTCATTTGGAAATATATTTGTTTCTCTGTTTGAGGGAATGTTGGCTTTTTGTGATCATTGTTCTTGTTTTAGGAATTTTGAAGATGTTCATGAAATGGGTTCTTGTTTATAAGCGTTTTCCAGTGTTTTTCTTAAGTTCATTTTCTGTTACGGAGAATTAAACAAAATGGGATGCTCTGATTTAAATTATCTAATTCCGTGTTCGACTTGTTCTGAAATCAGCTTTGTCTACAGGATTGTTAATTTTTACATGTACTTTGGATTTCTTGTGTTTTTAGGTTGAGTTTAAAATCTTTAGATATGGCTTTAGGACAAAAGAGTGCTCTTCGAATGAGATGTATTTCACATCGTGCCTTTTTAATCCCCTTATTTTGTAATGTTATTCGCGTGTGTCTAGGCTGCTTCCGGTGCTGTGCAGTGTCAGATGATGGACATGACTTATCCAGGAATTGTACCAATGCACAAGGTAACAGAATTCTGCCTCGGACATTTTTATCTTTAATATTTTCCTTGTCGTTTGGTTAAGTATTGCAATTATAGAATGCCTTCCTCAACATTTCAGTTTCATTTGTTATAGGTGAATTTTGATGCAAAGACAGAATATGATATGATTCAAAATTACAAGATTCTGCAAGACATATTTAACAAGTTAAAAATTGAGAAGGTACTATTTTCAACTTTCATGTGTAAGGTAAATTTTTCGCTATGCTTTATGTGTAGAGCTTTTTGATGTTCAGATACATTTCTATTAATTTTACTGAATCACTATGTCCATATAGACCTTGGGCTCCTAGTTTGATTCTTAGCAGGAAGCTTGCGCTGACTAAAATATGAGAATGTAATTTCCATCATTTGATATGGTTTCGATATATAATTTGCAGCATTCTGCTTCTTGTGTTTATACATTTTCCCATTCTTGCATGTTACCATTTGGACCATTATTTCCTTGGTTGGATCAACTATATGAGTTGACATTATAGGAAGCCTGTCCAAAGGCAGAGTTGGATGGGAGATTCTTGGCATTTCTGATTCAGGTTTGTTTCAGTCTGATCAATTCTAGGCCCCGAAAATTGAAGATGGTGAGCTTGGTTTAAGTCAACAAAGTCAGGGAAAAAAAAAAAAAAACAGAGAGGAGAAGCTAAACATTGTTCATGTTTCAGCAAATGGTGACATTATTCCACCCCTCCAATTTGAACTCTCAACAGCCCTTCCCCCCTTTTCTATCTAATAGGCGGATGCAAGCAGAAAATGATCAAAGATCACTAGAAGGCTATCCCTGGCTTCTAACATCAGAGAAAAGACAAAGCGCTTCAAGGGTGAAATGAAAAAGGGGTAATGGGAATCAAAGGTTAAGAAGTATAGGACTTCCATCTCTCCCTCTCGCCTGGCTCATTCTCAATCACGATAGTAGCCTCTCAGTTGTATTTGCGATACATATAGAGATATGATTGAGATTGTTGATTGTGTTGTTAACATGTGAGTTGAAGGTGTGTTTTTATTAACAGTGTTGATATTCTTCAAGGTTCTAACATGAGTGAGGAGACTGGGTACAGTTTTTCTTTTTTCTTAATAATAGAACCGAGACACTATATTTTCCTTGACATCCCTTCTCTCTCGATCTACATAGCAGCATCTTGAAGTTAACAGGCTTGTTAAAGGAAGGCCATTGGACAACTTGGAATTCTTACAGTGGCTGAAACGATACTGTGACTCTGTGAATGGTGGCATCATGAATGAGTATATCACTTTTACATTCTTCACCCTTCCATTTATTTTAACTCTCTTGAAATTGTTTTTTTCATTTGCTCTAGTCGCTTCATTTTGTTGAACATTTTTGTTTCTAAAAGGAACTATAACCCCTTGGAACGGAGAAGTAAGGGTGGGAGGGACCGTAACTCTAGGGGCTCTCAAAAGGCCACAAAATCGCAGCAAGCAAGCAACATGCATAACTCTGCCTCTGGTTACACAGTTGACCTGAACAAAATGTCTGGTAAATATGCACCACGTGATATCTTCCATATCCTTGCCTCTTTTTTATTTTGCCTTCATTTTGCTTTAATCCTTTGTTGTTTAATGCATATTGCTACAGTGAAAAAGCAAGGGAGGGGAAGTGCTGTGGTAGTTGAGGTAAATTCTTTGGAGGAGATTCAAGCTTTGTCCGACGAGGTATTGAATTTATTTTATTATTTTATTTTATTGTTTTTGAAACAGCAGCAAGTCAAAATCTCCTTGCATTTAGTGTCTTTGATATATGCAGATTGTTCTCATGCACTTTAGAGTTTAGATGGTCAATTTGGCAGGTAGATGAGCAAGTGTTTTACACAGATGGTAGAGATTGAAATTTTTCAATAACCGCACTAGCTCTACTTTGTAATCATAGTTCTCATATGGGGAAACCTCAATTTAATTCCTACCAGATTACCTCATTATGAGTTGAGTTTTAAACCTTTTGATTTTATCAATTTTGCCCCAACATTAGAAAATATCACTCTTCTATTTATCCACCTTTAATAATAGTTAAAGGATTCCTTCTAATTTGCCACGTGCTCTGAAGTGTTTTATTCCAAGGTTTTTAAAATAAGCTTTAATTTTCCTTTAAAGACAATCTTAATGTTAAATAATACTTTCTTTCTTTTTTTTTCTATTTCCCCCTCCATTTCGCTATCTTGTATAAAAGAGAAATTTACTTTATTTTGGTGGTAAAATTATACTTAAGGCCCAGGGAACATGAGAGTTTATTTTGGCTCTATGGATGGAAACACTTAAACTAGCATGTGCAAATTGGATGAAATATCTAAACTGTCATCAACAGCTGATGGATGCAGGGGTAACATTGACTGCCGTCCATTATGTTCGGGGAAAAATTGATAGAATCAAAGGAATTTCTATTTCTATTGATAATGATATAATATGCTACGTTGAGGTTACCTCTTCTCATAATAGCCTTTTGCTATTGAGACATTGGAATATGAAAGATATCATGCAATGAGTATTTAAGTTTCTGGTGTGCATAAAGATTGCAGATATGAAGCTCTCAGTGGACCTTCTGGAGAAAGAAAGAGATTTTTACTTTGCAAAGTTGCGTGATATAGAAATACTATGTCAGACTCCTGAATTGGAGGATCTACCGGTAAGAGTTTCTGGATGCCTAATATATAGATAAAGCCATGGTTCGTATCATAAACATGGAGTGGGGTTATATTTCTAGTAATGCTATTGTTTAAACTCCATGCAGGTGGTAGTTGCTATAAAAAAGATACTGTATGCTGCTGATACCAAGGAATCTGCACTTGAAGAAGCTCAGGAATACCTATCTGAAGCTATCTGTACTGGTGAAACTGAAGTTGAAAGTGAAGTTTGAGTTGAGTTCTGGCCAGCAATGGAATCTTGCCTAAGTTGCATGGCTTTCAGGGCGTTGTCATGAAGCTTTAGTTTTTTGCCAGCAATGGTAAATAAGTGTAGTGTTTTCTGTTTATTATGTGTTCCTGGGTTTTTGTGAATTTAATTGGCGACTAATCTATCAAAGTTAAAGGGAAGCTGCCGTTGCTCCCTTCTTCAGCACTGTGTGAGTTTATTACATGTTCCTGGGTTTCTGTGAATTTACGCGGTGACTCATCTATCAAAGTTCAAGGGCAATTTACTAATGCCGCTTTCTTCTCCACCGTGCTCGTAGGTTTTGTCCTGAAATAGTTGTCTGATTTCCTTATCTTTCTTTGTTCAATGCCAATATCCCACACGAAGGAAAGGAAATAGAACACTACACACACACACACACACAGTAGACCCGGTGGGTAACAATAATCTGAAGGAAAACGAAAAGAGCAGATCATCAAATTTGCTAGTTATTTTAATCCAGCAATAAATTGACATGATTTAGACCTATCATTTTCCCAAAACTAAAAGTTCTTGGAGAGCTGTTTCCATCCATCACTGTCAACTACCTTGGCCACCATAGCTTACAAAGAGAGAACATTTATCATGAACAGTTGTGTAATTGGGATGTGAAACCATTCAGCTCACCACAAGGAAGTTTCTTTCCACATTGCCAACATACATGATGTAATGCGATTTCAGTTGGAAACCGTTGCTTTTAGGATTCTCGTTCCAGCTACAAGTGTACCCCATGATTTAATAATGTATGATCCTAGTTAATTAGTGGAAAATCCCGACCAGAAATAATAATAATAAACCTATATACGAAAAATAATTATGGCCGAAGACTTGATGAAAATCAGCATGTGTGACATGAATTAGGAGCATTGGTAAAATTTATTGTCAACCCCATTTTTTTGTAGTATAAACCCTGAGTACGTGACTAAATATGCAAAACGGAGAAAATACTTATGATTGATGGTTTAATCGATAA